TTTTTTAATTTCCCAGGACTGCCAACATCGTCGGCAACAATCGATGAATCACAATCAAAGATCCCTGATCTGTCAATAATTTACGACACATTTTGTTAACTATTGTTATGCAACGAGCCTCAAATAAAAAAAATATTTCAAGAATGGAACCTTCGTTTAGGGATCGAACTCACTATGCCAACTTTAGTTTGGGTTGACAAACATTGTTCTTAGTTTTGGCTGGCATACGGACTGCAGATAAAGAAATATATATTTGAAGAATGGAGGCACCTCTAGGGATCGAACTCACTATGTCAACATTAGTTTGGATTGACAAATATTGTTCTTAGTTTTGGCTGGCATACGGACTGCAGATAAAAATTATATTTGTAAGAATCGAGCCTCTTTTATGGATCGAACTCACTATTCCAGCATTAGTTTGGGTTGACAAACATTGTTCTTACTTACGGCTGGCATACGTTTGTAATAACGGGGGAGATTTTCAGCAGATCGAACTCGCTATACTAACATTCGCAAGTGCAGTTAGATAACCATTACTCCACGGTTATCTGTTCAACCTCCTACCGTGTTATAGAATTATCCAAGAAACATCAGAACTGCTCATGGGCTGGAATCTAAAACACCTGTTATTGCGTTTATTTAAGAAAAAATAATTCCCAGGACTGCCAACATCATCGGCAACAATCGATGAGCCAAAATCAAAATAACATCTTGCAGGCGGGGGTGATGGATGAGCATGGATGTTGGAAATTTGTCATGACAGGATCGATCATAACCAATGTCGCCGGTGAAAGTAGCAGACAAAAGTGTGAGTCTCTTCATATCTATCTGTGTGAGTCACTTCATATCTATCTATCTCAGTCTGTTCATATATATCTATCTATCTATCTATCTATCTATCTCAGTCTGTTCATATCTATCAATCTATCTATCACTTCTCAACCTATTCATATCTATCTATCTATCTATCTATCTATCTATCTATCTATCTATCTATCTATCTCAGTCTGTTCATATCTATCTATCTATCTATCTATCTATCTATCTATCTATTTATCTATCTATCACTTCTCAAGATATTCATATCTATCTATCTATCTATCTATCTATCTATCTATCTATCTATCTATCTATCTCAGTCTGTTCATATCTATCAAGCTATCTATCACTTCTCAACCTATTCATATCTATCTATCTGTCACTTCTCAACTTATTCATATCTATCTATCTATCTATCTATCTATCTATCTCAGTCTGTTCATATCTATCTATCTATCTATCTATCTATCTATCTATCTATCTATCTATCTATCTATCTATCTATCTATCATCGAAACATCATGTAAATGCATGTAATGTCAATCGTTATTTTCCGTCGTCTTAATTCTTGTTCTTTTATTATCCTCTCTCCATAATAACATTTTTCCTTATATCCTCTAACACTCAGTAACACCCCACTTTCGTCTTAGTGGCTTTATTGCCTCATTAAAAATGATTAAAATATATATCTAACTATCAATCTATATCCATCCGTTTATTTCTATCTATCTATCTATCTATCTATCTATCTATCTATCTATCTATCTATCTATCTATCATTTAAATGCAATGTCAATCGTTATATTCTGTCTTCTTAATTCTTGTTCTTTTAACAATAGTTGTTCTCATATTGTCTCACATTCAGTAACCTCTTGCATCCTAGCGGCTTTATTGCTTTGCCTGGGGTGAAATAATTAAAAGTTCTAAGTCTGTTCATTATCTATCCATCTATCTCTTGCTTCCGATGAAATGCTTAAAAATCTATCTATCTATCTATCTATCTATCTATCTATCTATAGAGAGAGAGAGAGATAGATAGATAGATAGATAGATAGATAGATAGATAGATAGATATCAGTGGCGACTCCAGCGGCCGGGCTTTCAAGTTTTTCAAAGCAACAAAAAAACTTCTGTAGTGCATCATTTTCATTCTTGACTTCAGCTGGATCCAAAATTGATTTAACTCCTCAAAAATAAGCCTCAAAATATTGACTGCAATACATTTCGTTGATATTGTTCATAAGAAAGAAAGAAAGAAAGAAAGAAAAAGAGAAAGTCTACATATATCTGGGTCCTATCGGAGCTGGAGACATGTAATGTGTTTCTTGCTTCAATTTTATAAATTAAATAAATTCCACGTGCCATGTTTAATGGATGCCAGTTATCAGTTACCTCCTGTTGTGGAACTAGAACAGTCTACCCCAGTGAGCGAAATAAAGGGTTCAGTTCAACATTCCAACCACCTGAAGAAGGCCGGAGCATGCAACGGCCGAAACGTTGTAATAAATATAGCGACAAAGATGAGGACAATAGTCCGAATAATGTAAATAATGCACATAATACCCCATCTCAGAAATATAGACAGATACTGACAGGCCGAAACGTTGTAATATATATGGCGACGAAGATGAGAACAATAGTCCGAATAATGTAAATAGTGTACATAATACCTCATCTCAGAAATATAGATAGATATTGAAGTGCCGAAACATTGTGATAAACATGGCGACAAAGATGAAGACAATAGTCTAAATAATGTAAATAGTATACATAATACCTTATCTCAGAAATATAGACAGATACTGAAGGGCCGAAACGTTGTAATAAATATAGCGATAAAGATGAGGACAATAGTCCAAATCATGTAAATAATAATATACCTGATTTGTTTTATTTTCTTAAACAGCGATATTAATACCAATCAACCTATTTTGAGACGGCTAACTAAGGAAATAGTGTACCTCTAAAAGGAATTGAACCCCTACCCCTTTTCAACAGGGAAACTGTTTGTATAACACCGTTGATAGAGCAAGGTTAGAATTACCTTTTTGGGGAAAGTATGTTTTCCTCTTTGGGATTTCTACCAATCTATATCTGCAGACGTAATATATTGAAAGCTATTTTTTATCCGACACTTCTTATAAACATAAAATTGTTTGTTTTCGTGGGTAAACGTGTTTCAGTTGCTCACCCGGTATTTTTTTGTTTTTGTTTTCATTTTGTTCTTAAACAATGAAATTACTGTAATTCCCCATGTATAATACGCTTTTTTCTTCTAAAAAATAATAAACAAAATTAGGTGTGCGTATTATGCACAGCTACAAAAAAATCTTTAAAAAATTGCCGTTTCATAGATCGATTTCATTTGCGAAATGACTACTCACCACAAACATAAAATTTGACACTAACATTCGGCGATTGTGACCTCATAAGGATGTCAAATACAATCATATGTACCTAACAATACCCACAAATGGAAAATAATGTAAAAATTATCATGAAACTAAATTAGAACATTATTATTCTATGTTTAAAACCATTTTTTGTGAAAAACTACATACAGATCCAGTAGATTGCACATTTTATCGAACAAAAACAGGTTAATGAGTCTGCGCAGTAGGTATTTCCGTCTCCTTTTAGAATCGTGATGATCCTAAACTTTAATAAATATCTTCAATTATTGCTTTAATAAGAGCAGGAAATGCTGTCTCTAAAGAAAATGGAGAGGTACAATTTATAGGGTTTGATTACCAAACAAAGGGTGCGTATTATGCGTGAGTAGAAGAACTTTCTCACACTTTCAGCACAATTTTAGGGGTGTGTATTATGAATGAAGGTGTATTATACATGAGTAATAACAACAGGTTAAGAGATCCATATCCGAATTGATTGCTATAAACTTCTGAAATATTTCTTCTCTTATGTAAAATTTTCTCATAACTGGCAGCAAGCTGGTTGCATACGGATAGAAAAGGAATTCAACAGATGTACAAAAATCAGCGAAGAAGTTTCTAGACTGCATTCAAAAGAGGAATGCAATCCTTGAGAAACGGAGGGACAATGCTGGTGATTAGATTTCGAATCCTAAGAATTTTTATGGTTTTTTTTTTTTTTTTGCTAATTTTTGTATGCTTCTCTGATTAATTAAGCAAAGAACATGCATAACTTTTTGACCGAGCCTCGAACAACGATACAGAAAGAAGACAATGTTTAGGTATAGATTTTGAATAGAGAAATGTTATGTTTATTTTCGTAGGATTTGTGTGCTTCTAAATATTACATCTGCTGCAATTAAAGAAAAACAGGCATTACTTTGTGTCTAACCTTCTTACCGAGAAGGAAAGAGGCTATATTGAGAACTATGTTTGAAATCCTGAGACTATGAGAAGAAAGGGCGTGAGGTATTTTGAAAACGAGTTTTGTTTTCTGTTGCAATTAAAGAAAAACATGCATTACTTTAAGACTGCATTACTTTAAGACTGCACTTGTACCAGAATTGAGAAGGAATCAGACTTTGGTAAGAAAGAGTTTTGAAATCTGTTGCAATTAACAGGCATTACATTGTGATTAACGCTCATATCGCGATCGAGAAGGAAATAATTCCCTTCTTTTAGCCTGAGGCAGATCTAACGCAAAAAAAGTATGAACGTAGATAAATCGAGATTCATATATAGATATTTCTTGTATACGTTACATCCCTACTCGTTTTACTGGGATCCTAAAGTGTTGATCTTACCTTTGAGTTCACAAAAATTGCGCAGTGAGATTTTTTTTTTTTATCATTTCGCAAAGGCGAAACATTCGCGAAGAAAAACCTTAGAATTGATTACAGGTCGAGGAATAGGCAATTTCTCTTGAATATTTATTTCTCAATAGAAATATTGAAACAATACATTTTTTTTTCTCTCTTATTTACTGAGATAATTATTTTCGATTGCTTTGTTGAAACTCCGGGCTCAGTTCCCAAATTCATCAATTGTTAGTTTTATTAGGATTATGAACAGTAATTCATCTCCCGGATTATCAAAGTGCCTATTGTCAAATCCTATATTAAATGCATAGTTGTTTCTCCTGCAACTTAATGGAAAAATAATCAGAAAATTACATTTTGAGAAGGATTAAGAAGGATTAATTTATCAGTGAGATTATCGGAATAGGCAGTTGGGTGTTATAAGGTTCAAGGTTCCCGTACGATCAGCGAAGTTAAGCAACACTGACCTTGGTTAGTACCTAGATGGGTGACCGCTTGGGAATAACAGGTCCTGTAAGCCTAGTAATGCTTACGGCCACATCACGTTTAAACATCGGTTCCCGTACGATCACCGAAGTCAAGCAACATCGAGCGTGGTGAGTAGTTAAGTGGGTGACCAATTGGAAATTTGATGTAAGTTTAAATTTACGAGTGGATAATGAATAATGGTACGAATTGTTAATCGGTGAGCTGAGTTCGAATTCCCGTTGGGTTCGTTATATTCACTTACGTGCAAATACATTTGGGAAAGTTATGAATCAACATCTTATTCCCCCCAGCTATGGGTTAATTAGTAGGACTTGTATCACTAAACCATTATTATCTCCCCCGCCCCAATTTTTATAATTTAAATTTTCTTTCTGGCTTAAAGTGCACTGCACGGTGTTGGTGGTCCGTAAAAAGCGAATCAATAAATAAGTGAAACATATAGTACTTTGCGAATGCATTTCTACTGGAAGTATTGAAAAATAAATAAATAAATAATAATAATAATCGATTTCCAGACTCGAAACGGCTCAAAAGTGTGGCCTTGTGGCGGATAAAATATTTTTCTCAGACGAAACAATGCACAGAAAATCTTCTAACATGTTACATTCCTTAGTTGCCACAGTTCAGACCTTTACAGATAAGAGCCACCATGTCACCTATACAAAGTCGAATCTGCCTCTTCGACTTCGTATTCTATTTGTAAAGACGAAGTTCCACTCAGAACGCTTCTTACTGAAAAAGTTTTTGTCGAACAGGCTCCCAACTGGATGCTTTCTCGTCACAATAATCTTAGTCACTACAAGTCTAGAGTCAACTGTTATCTATCCTCAAATAAATATAATGTTTAATTTATAAAGGGGGAGTCTACTCAAATATGGGCATCTACTAAAAATAATGTTTAAAGTGCCAAAAATTATGTCAAATTTATAAATAAAAATCCATTAATTATATATATATATATATATATATATATATATATATATATATGACGTCACACATTATGAAATGGACAAAGTCCGACAATTATTTTAAGACATTTTTGTCTTGACGTCGCACATTATGGAATAATGTGTGACGCTATTTGTTTACATTTGGATAGACATCGAGTAGATATGAATGTACGTGAGAAAGTCATGGAGAATTGTAGTTCAAAAACAGTTAAATCGACCTCGCTCACCGGAACGCTCCTCTGTAGCGAAATCGGTAAAAGCACGTCAGCCTATTTGACGGTTTCGTATAGGATACAGGTTCGATTCCTGTCGGAGGACTAATACTTTCTATGAAAATTCCTCGGACATTCAGAAATGTTGTTAATGCTGTTTATTATAAACAGAGCATTTATTTAAATATTTGTATCTATAAAAAAGAATGTATAAACATAAAAATGTCTTTATATATATATGTATATAAATAAAAAGAAAGAACAGCAAGATATATAATCCGGTGTTCTTATAGATATTTTTATTTTTACAAAATAGTGCTCAATGGAAATTTACAGAGCATTAATATTATAAATTAATTGATTTAAAATATGTTTTTTTTTCGCTACACAGTTCTAACAATGTTTCAAAAATAGAAGCTAAAAGCCAAGCCACGAATTTAATTTTGGGATTAAATTAAAGACATTAGTTCCATTTCATCCTCAAGCGAATTTTGGAGTAACTTTTAAAATTACTGGGTTTTAAATACACAGCTAAAACAAAATTCATGTTTCCAAGGTTACAGATAAATCTATTTTTCTAGACAGGGGTGGCTGTGTTTTCAATATATCTATAATTTAATGTATCAGTTATTTCTACGTTTGGGTCGTGGGAAGGGATGCATTTTTCAATGAAATCTAACTTCCGTTAAAGCCTGTCGTCTAGATTTTTTAAAATTATATTGTTAACGGCTAAAATTCTTACGGCCTTTTTTTTCCGTATATTTAATGTATATTACGATTTTTTAAAATTTTATATATATATATATATATATATATATATATATATATAATATTTATGTGGACTTGGCGAAGGCTTTTGACACTGTGAATCGAGAGGCTCTTTGGCAAGTCTTGAGGAAACTCGGCATTCCAGAAAGCGTGCTGAAGGTCATCATCTCCTTTCATGAAGGAATGAAAGCTAATATCGTGTCTGATGGTATGATGTCAGAATCCTTTGATGTCACAAACGACACCAAGGAAGGGTGTGTCATGGCCTCTGTCCTTTTTGCACTTTTCTTCTCGGTAATGCTGAAATATGCATTCGCAGACACAGAGAGCGGCGTCAAGTTTCAGTTTCGAAGAACTGGTGGACTCTTCAATCATCAGCGCTTTAAAGCCAAGACCGACCTTCGTACACAAATTATCACTGCCATCCTTTGAGGAGGCCCAACATCTAATAAATTGTTTCTCTGCTGCATGTAAAGACTTTGGTCTTACACTTAACATAAAGAAAACTGAAGTAGTGCACCAACCCTGTCCTACTCTGAAGCAATTCCGTTGCGTCAAAAAAAAAAAACCCGACCAGTCTACAAATTTCCAGAGAGACCCTTGAAAGTAGAAGACAACCCCCTTAACTATATAAAGTCTTTCACCTATCTTGCTAGCAAAGTCAATTACAGTGGAACTTTAGATAATGAAATCATGCATCGGATTGCTAAGGCTACCAGTGCTTTCGGCAAACTTCGCCATCGCTTGTGGAATGAGCGGGGTATTCGACTGGATACGAAAATTCGGTTTACAGAGCTGTTGTTTTTGCCATCCTTTTGTATGGCTCAGAGTCGTGGACTCCATACAGGTACCATATACGCCAGGTGGATGTTTTCCATAAGAGCTGTCTGTATGCCATCTGTGGAGTTAACCTTCAAGAGAGGACATTCAATGGAGACTTGTTTAACACTTGTAATATTGACAGAATCGAAAATTTCCTCATACAGTCTCAGTTGTAGTGGACTGGTCATCTTGAGAATGTCTGATGACAGGATACCCAAGATCCTAATGTACAGCCAGTTAGATCAGGGCAACAGGAATGTAAAACGTCCATAGATTAGATAAAAAACAAAGTGAAGAGCAACTTGTCAGCTGTCAATATACCTCATAATACTCTCGAGCACTTAACCTTGGAACGGGTAGAGTGGAGATCAATGTGTTTTAGTGGACGCAGCGGTTATCAGTCTGCTACTCTGAATCGTCTTCAAAACGCGAGTCCAAGATCAAAAAGAAAATCTATCAGTGACAGCATCCACAATCCTTACCCTTGCTCCATATATGGCCTCCTTTGTAAAATCACTTGCTAGTCTTAAGTACCACTTAAGATTATCGCACAAAATCCATAACTGAATCAATTGGTTAAGCTGTCAAATCCTCATAAGTCGAAACCGACAGGAGAGTCCATTATATATATATATATATATATATATATATATATATATATATATATATATATATATATATATATATATATATATATATATGCTGGGCTAACAATAAGTTTACAGTTGTTTCACAATTTATTACAAGTTTTAGATCACAGCAGAAAGTCAGAGCCAACTTTGTCAAACTGTTCTTTCGGTAAAATGGAACACTTGCCCATTATTTTTTTTTTTTTGTCAGTAATAGATTATCTTAACCAAATCTTCCCACAGCGTTTTGTTCTGCAGAAAGGCCAGCGTCCGATGGCCACCACGGTCACCTGACCTAACCTAAATTATTTCTTTTTTTTTTCGGGTTGTAATAAAGAACAAGAGAGAAATCCTCACACGGTGGACTAATTAAAAAAGTACATTTCAGAAATATTTATTGAAATTGATGCACATCGGGATTTGTGTCGTGCTGTGTGTCGTAGCGTTAACGGGAGGTTGGAGGAATGTTACAATTTTGAAGGAGGATATTTTGAGCACTTAAAAGATTAAACTGCTCTACACAAATGGAAGTAAACAAATGTACATCATCAGTTTTGAAAGAAAAATTGTAAGAAATAAATATAAATGTACTAAAATCTTTGTAAAAAATGTAAAGTGCATACTTACTAAGCCTAAACCCACTTTTAGCCTACATACACACACATATATATATATATATATATGTATGTGTGTGTGTGTGTGTGTGTGTTTTTTTGTGTGTGTGTGCATGTGTGCGTGCGTAAATATTCTCAAATGGGGTTTATCTGTAGAAGAGATCAAATGAATAATGAATAAAAAGTCATGAGGAAAAACTATACTTAGCCAACGCGTTTCGTCCTTTAAGGGACTTTATCAAGGCAATGACTTGATAAAGTCAATCCTAGGCTACGTATAGTTTTTCCTCTTATCTTTTTTAATATATATATATATATATATATATATATATATATATATATATATATATATATATATACAGAAAAATAAAGATGGATACAGTCTTTAATACAGATAAAACGATGCAAGCCTATGGATACTCTGTTGGTGTTTACATGGTAAATGTGGGGATAAGACAAATTCCTTCTTTTGTGTATATATATATATATATATATATATATATATATATATATATAAAGTACAGACGATCCTTAAAACCGTTAATAACCTGGTATTATTATTATACATTGCTGTGTTTCATACATTGAGATCGCTTTGGATTCATGTCCACCTTGAAATTGTTCCTCCAATTAACAATGGATAAATATATATATATATATATATATATATATATATATATATATATATATATATATATATCAAGAGAGAGACTGATGCGGCCTCTTTACTACAAATGAAACGTGGTTACTTTGTCGCTGTATCTATGTTAAATGTTGAGATGAGATATAATCATTAGTTACCCCAGTGCAGACCTTTACGGCTAAAACTCACAATGCGGCGTCCACAGAGTCGATTCATCCTCATTCCCTTCATATTCCATTGATTAAAGAGGAAGTTTACTTCAGATACCAGATACCTTCTCTCCCAGACTACAGTATGGAACAAACTCCCGAGGAGATGTTTCCTCCATCACTACAATTCGAACCGTTTCAAATTCACGGTCGACTGATATCTACATACATCAACCTTATTCAAGTAACATTGAATGGCTAAGGAGGCTTTTTTCTGAATGAACAAAGAGGAATCCTGCAAAATTATATATATATATATATATATATATATATATATAATTATTTATTTCAAA